CCAGTTGAGCTCAAAACCTTTCTTTTCAGTTTCAAATCTCTCTCTCTCGTTATCAAGAGTTTTCTGTAGGTTTTTGAGTTTTTGAGCCATGGGAAAAATACAAGGTTCCTCTCCAGTTTTAGCGATACCTACTCTTGGGGGTGGATCTAGAGGATGTCCTATGTGTGGAATATCTTTTGCATAAGTGTCAAGGCATTCACTAAAGCAGGAAGTAGATTTTTCTTGTGAAAGTTGTTTTTCATTTACAGAGGGATAATCACAAGAAATCACAGCTTTAGGGTTCTTTCTCTTTTCTTCTTCTGCTTCAGCGTTTTCTTCATCACTTCGAAAATACATTTTCTCACCAAACTCTAGTCCCATGTAATCTTTGTTATAGATTTGAAGACAATTAACTTTCTTTAGATTACATGGGGTTTTTATGCCCAGTCCTATTTTAGGATTGTAGAATCGGTCATCCTTTATTTGATTAAGAAAAATTGTCTGTTCAGACTGACCTCTTCTAGCAGCTAGATCCTCTAGTTCTTTTACTTTGTTTAAAAGTGTTCTTCTCTTATTATGCAAAAAATCGCATTCAGCCTTTGCTGTGCTTTTTTCTCGTTCACTATCCTCAAATTTCCTAATTAATTTAGCTATCTTAAGTTCAAAGCTTTCAAAATCTGAGGACACCTTTTTGACCTGATCTTTTGCAATTTCAAGTTGAACACTTAAAGAAGACTTTTGGTCTAGATTCTGTTTCAGTACCCTACGATTATTGTCTAGTCTCTCCTTTAGTTCTTTAATTAGATTGTCCTTCTCAAGTAAGGACTACATTTGGTTATTTAAAGGAGTATGAGAGGTACTTACAGAGCTTGTTGAGCATTCGCTTTCGGGGATCGCAACATCACCCTTTCTTTCATCTTCCTCCACTCGTGCCATCAGGGCATAGTTATCTTCTTCTTCCTCCTCATCAGAAGAATCTTCTGCCCAGTTATCATTCTCAGCAATCATTGCAGAAGTTTCTTCTTCTTTCTGCACCATCAGCATTTTCTGCTTATTCCACAACATCTTCTGCTGGTAGAAGTTAGCATCCTTCTTCTTTGGGAGGCGGCAGTCTTTGATGACATGTCCAGCCTTCCCACAATTGTAGCATTTGGGAGCATCTTCAGCTGATGGCGCCTTTCTAGAAGATCCTTGTTAATGGTTCTTCTGTTTGTAGTTAGATGAGGAGGTTCTCAGCTTGTTGGAGGAGCTGTTCTTCTTTGCAAATCTCTTGGCAAGCAGTGCCATCTTTTTCTGTAAGTCTGCAAGCTCAGCCTCCAGATCAGATTTGTCATCATCACTTTCATCATCGTCTGATTCAACCACCTTCTTCTTCTTCTTCTTCTTCTTCTTCTTCTTCTTCTTGTTCTTTAGTGGTGTGGTTGTCCTTCTGGGTTGAGCTTCCATCACAAGAGCTAGGGGATTTGTGGTGTGATGATCCTCGGCAGAAGCAACCTCATTTACAAATTGCTTTAGATGTTCATAGAGAGTGCAGAGGTCAATTTCGTCCAAGTCAATCCGAGATCAAACATCATTTACTATCTTTTCCCATGCAGGATGCAGGCTGGATAGAAATCTAATATTCAGTTCCAAGTTGGACCTGAATACTTTGATTTTTCTGAGTTCGTTGACCAGTTGAACGAGTCTATTGTAAGTCTCGTTCAAAGGTTCTCCCGAGCCTGCTTTGAAGGAGTCATAAGCAATAAGGATTGTAGTCTTCTTGGTTTTAAGGCTGATGCTTGTGCCTTGGAGCAGCTTCTCTATCTCATCCCACATTTCCTTAGCTGTTTGCATGCTATCGATGAGAACGTATACTTCATTGGGGATTGCTTGAAGAAGGTATGTTTTGGCCATGAGATCACCACGAAGCCTGAGTTTGTCAGCTTCCGTGTACTCAGATGCCACTTTCCTCCTTATTTCTGGAAGAATAGGAGGGTTGTTTTTTGGATCATCACCAACTGAAATCAAGAGTTCAGCTGGTCCTTCAAGCAAGGATTCAAGCATCGCAGCGGAGTTCTCTTTGTGCTCAAGGAAATTAAGGAATCGATTCCTCCACATTTGGTATTCTCCCTTCCTGAGACTAGGTTGGGTACTGCTGTTCCCTTGTGCATTGAATTCTGAGGCCATTGCTGTATTAAACTGACCGTTCGAGATAATTGATCAAAAAGATTTTCAGAGGCAGAATGTCGAAAAATCAGATGTCGAGATCTGAATATCGAGATCTGAGATTTCGATAAAGGAGGCCCGGTATCGAGATTTGAGCTCGAGATTAGAGATCTCGAGATTAAGGATCTCGAGATTTCAAATTTCGAGAAGAGGATCTCGAGATTTGAAATGTCGAGAAGTTAAAACTCGAAATCTTAATTTTGAGAAATCAAATGTCGAGACCAGATGTCGAAACCTTAACTCGAAATCTTGATCTCGAAATCCTAGATGTCGAAATCCTCAATGTCGAAATCCTGCAAACTGTAAAAATCAGAAAAGCAAAATCTGAAGGTAGTTTCCTGTAGAGTAGAATGCCGAGATCCTCAGGTAAAGTTTTCAGCTCGAAAAACGTAGCAGAACTGTTAAAAACCTAGATGTCGACAAGGGCTACTCGAAATATCTCAAGTACAGAATATGCGTAAAACAAAATCTGAAGTATACCCCTTGATCGCTTTGAAACGACGATTCTAAGGGTGTAACTTTTACAACTTTTGAACAAGAAACAAGATTACAGAGTGAAATATCGACAGTAAGAACAACGTAAAGAAAAACAGAGTCTTCTGCAGACGTTCTTCTGATCGGCTCTCGATCGGCTCTGATACCAATTGATAATCCCAGAATACTAACAATCATACAATCATAAGCAGTAATAAAGAAGCAGATAGAAAGATATGTCGAAGATTAAACGCGAATCTGGTATACCGTATGAAAACCGGCCGCTGCTCTCCCTGGAGAAGGAGAGCAGCGGCAACCCTACTCTCTCTATCTCTACGCCTCTGCGTCTCTAAGCCTCTATCGATCGTTTTTGGGTTCCCGTAAGTTAGCCTCCTTTTATAGGAGAAGTTAGCTAACTTACGGGTTACAAGGAAGCCCACGGGCTGATACACATTTGTGGCCCGTATTACACGTTTAATTAATAACTACACAAATACAAAGATAACTAACTAGATTGAACATCATAAAATATTCCCAACAAACCCAAATATTTACTTTTAGTCGTTTATTTGCAATTTTAATTTTCTCAATCAACTAAATCTTGCACGACCGCATATATTTTATTTATTCTTTATCGCTGATTTTAGTTAGTCCTTAATTCCCTTTTACTGTCCCTGTGGAGACGATACTCATACTTTCACCGCTATTCTACGATCTTTTTAAGTGCGAGAAAACTAACATCAATACCTAAAAAGATAAACCCGAATCCCTTGGTGACTGGAGACCCATAGCGCTTTGTAATGGGATATATAAAAAAAATTTCCAAGCTTCTTGCTAATAGAATGAAAAAACTATTGCAAATTTGTATATCGGAGCAGCAAAGCGCCTTTATTCCGGGCAGACATATTATTGACAATATTATGTTGGCCTTCGAATCCCAACATTTTCTGAAATGGAAGCGGTATGGAAAAATAGGGGTTGTAGCTCTTAAATTAGACATGAGCAAGCCTATGATAGAGTAGAATGACCTTTTCTGGAGGGGATGATGAAGAATATGACATTTGATGATAGGTGGGTGAAGTTGATTATGGAGTGTGTTTCTTCGGTTTCTTACTCCATTCCTTTTGATGATTCTGAGATTGATCTTCCTACGCCTGGGAGGGCTTTGAGACATGGAGACCCTCTTTCACCGTATTTATTTTTGATAGTAGCATAAGGGCTTAGCGCATTGTTTCATAGATATGAGTCTATGGGCCGCTTACATGGTGTTTCTGTGGCTCGGGGTGCTCCGAGGATTTCACATTTACTTTTTGCAGATGATAGTCTGCTATTTTTCAGAGCCACTCATACCGAAGCAGCTTTGGTCAAGGAGGCGCTGGCTGATTACGAAGGAGCATCGGGGCAGGTAATTGATTTTAATAATTCAAAAGTCTTCTTCAGTTCTATTGTTTTGTCTGAGCATAGAGAATGTTTGTTAGAGTTGTTGGGAGTGGGGCTAGCCGGAGGTGATGATACCTATTTGGGCCTTCCGGCGTTGGTAGGGCAGGGGGAAAAGCCATTTTGGGCTATCTCCGACAAAGGGTGGTGAGTAGGATCATGAGCTGGAACAATAAATTTTTATTCAAAGCAGGGAGAGAAGTTCTTTTAAAATCTGTCATTCAATCCATGCCAACATATGCTATGATTGTGTTTTTGCTTCGTAATGAACTCTGCCAGAAAATTGAAATGTTAATGAATGGATTTTGGTGGAGGGGTAAATCTGGAAAAGGTATAAGATGGAAAAGCTGGACTGATCTTTGTCAGCCAAAAAAGGTCAGGGGATCGAGCTTTAAGAAGTTGAGGGAATTTAATCTTGTCATGTGTGCTAAGTAGGCTTGGAGACTTTTCACTAATCCCGACTCCTTAGTTGGGAAAGTCTTTAAGGCCCATTATTTTCCTAAAGGATTTTTTTGGATGCTACTCTGGGTAACATTCCCTCCTCCATATGGCGAAGTATGTTTCAAACTCAAGACATTATTCGGGATGGATATTACTGGCGGGTCGGGAATGGAAAATCCATTAATATTTGGAAGGACCCATGGCTTCCCGATAAGGATAACCCGAGGGTTATGACAGAAGGAATAGATGGGTTCCAAGAGGCTTCGGTGGCTAATCTTTTTGGTGTCATGGGACATGAGTTGGATGGAGATATTTTAAATGATTTATTTGCGAGCAAGGATATTTTTTTGATTAAGAGTATACCGCTTAGCTATCAGGAAATACCGGATAAAATTTGTTGGAAATGGGAAAATAATGGCTTATTTTATGTTAGGAGTTGCTATAGACAGTTGATGGGCCAGAATAATCTCTATGGGTGGTTGGGGTGGTCGGCTATGTGGAATTGGCTTCTTTCTCCAAAAATAAAAATTTTTTTCTGCCAGCTTTGCAACGGCTGTGTACCAACCCGGTTGAATCTACAGGCACGAAGGGTTGATTGTTCTGGGTTTTGTGGGCTGTGTGGGAAGGCCGAGGAATCTACACTCCATCTATTCATCCTTTGTGATGCGGCTAAGGAAGCTTGGGAAATAGCGAATTGGACTTGGATTAATCCTGGAGCTAGAGAATTCTTGGAGCAGCTGGAGTTGGAATTTAACTCAGAGGAACGAAGAATTGGAAAAGTTAATTTGGGGATGTTGGGCTATTTGGTGTGAGCGGAATCAGTGTGTTTGGCAAGGGACTTACCAATCGGCAGTTCAGTTTGTGGGGAAGGCATCAACAACAGTTAAGGGATGGATTCAAGCTCAGGCAAACCGGGTGGAAGGAAACTGTAGGCAGCAACAGGTGGCAGCCTCGTGGAGTCATCCAATTTCGGGGCGAACTAAATTGAGCATGGATGCTGCTGTTCGGGATTCCGGTAGTGGGCTGGGGTGGTGCTTGCGGGATGAAAGGGGGCAGCTTCGTGAATGGTGTGGCATGTCCGACAGTCCGAGGGAAGGAAAATTTTCTCCTTTGGCAGCAGAATTAATGGGTACTAGTAATTCCACCCGTGCTACGCACGGGAGTGAAGATGTTTGGATCAAACATACATAAACTCAAAGAATTTCATAATAAATCAACCTAACTCAAAACATAAAATTAAAAACTAAAACAAATTAATCAAATTAAAGCATAAAATAAAATAAATATTCATATTTAATACGAAATTAAAAAACAATGCTCAAAGTTAAGTACAAATCATGATGCGATATGTGTAGCAATGAGTATGGATGTATGCATGAAGCAAGGGAACTATAAATTAGTATAAACTTCTTTGTATACAACATTCAATGCCGACTTCGTTGGTTTCCCTTCATCGTCACATATAACAAACTTTAATCCAGACGGACTTGTTACTCTCGAGACCGCCACATACAACTGTCCATGCGTAAAAACAGGACGACGGAGGAAGATGCCAACCTTTTCCAATGACTGTCTCTGGCTCTTATTAATGGTCATTGCATATCTAACCATTAACGGAAATTGTCTACGCTGAAAAGTGAATGGGAGACTAATGTCCGATGGTGTCAAAGTAAGGCGGGGAATAAGAAACTTTTCGCCAGCATTTTCTCCGTGCATCATCTGAGCCTCAATAATATGAGCTCCAAGTTTAGTGACCATAATCCGTGTGCCATTGCACAATCCAGATGAATGATCTATATTCCTCATATGCATCACAGGAACTCCAACTTTCAACTTCAGCTCATGACTCGGCAAGTCAGAACATTTGATGCTATTAAGAAATTCAGGAGAATGTATCTCATGCAAGAGATCATTACTATCTGAGTCAGATGAAGAAGCTCAATCTGAGCTTAGGTACGTCTTTAACTCTGAATCTATCTGGCTCAACATGTAATCGTTGACCTTATCAACCTCATCTATGGTTGGAGCAAGAATAGCCCTGGAATAAAGATAATTAATAGGATCACCCTGGGTAAAGAAATCAGGATAAATAGCTTGAACTATAGATTCAACAGGATCAGACGTCATTGGAGCCATCATATCGTCTGGTATATCAATGAGTGATTCTCCATCTTGATTTTCAGCAAAAGCTCCGTCACCAATCTTCAAAATCCACTCCGCAAAAGATTGGATAGTTGGTCCATCAGGCTGGCCGAGCATCCTTGTGAGCCTCATGTTTTTAGTAAGCCTCACTACAGTACAATGTGACCACATGAATGAACTGTTAAGTGCGGCGCGCACAATGTCTTGTCTCGTGCCTTTTGGTATCACAGGAAGAATTTGCCTAAAGTCACCACCAAATACAATCATCTTCCCACCAAAAGGCAAGGTAGCGTCACAGTGGCTGGAGTAACGAAGCACGTCTCTCATACTCTGGTCAAGAGCTTCGAAACAATGTCGGTGCATCATCGGTGCCTCACCCCATATAATCAACTTAGATAACTCTATCAGCTTAGCCAACGGACTACCATGTTTTATGTTGCACGTGGAGTCTTCTACAACACTAAGTGGAATCACAAATCTCGAATGTGTGGTCCTTCCTCCAGGCAAGAGAAGCGATGCTATACCACTTGAAGCCACGTTAAGAACTATATCACCGCGAGATCTCACAGCCGCAGACAAAGTCCTCCATAGATATGTTTTTCCAGTTCCTCCGTGGCCATATAAAAAGTAGAATTTCCCGTTTCTACTATCTACAGATTCCATTATCCTGTCATACACAACACGTTGTTCATCTGTCATCTCGGCCAACAACTTTGCATGCTCCTCAATCAGATACGATTTATTGTACCGCAGCTCTTCATGAATTTGAAGTTCTTCCAGCGAGGGCATTTCATCATCAGGTAGCAAGGGTATGCCAGCAAAATCACGCAGTAATCTACATCTTGACTGCAAGAGCTTCTGAATCTCCAACAAACAGTACTTTTCAATTTTATCTTGATCCAGTTCAAAATCTGCAGTAGTGCATTTAAATATTTTAGTACGTTAATTAAGATTGAACTAATATATAAAATATTCCACAATATATACATTTCAGCACAACCAAATTACACATGCAATGCTTTTTACTTTAATTAACATGCACATAAAGAAAACATGTTTACTAATTCAGTATTTAAATATTGTATATTTTATTAAATTCATCACTCAACATGAAAAGATGCATAGGTTTTTTGTATTTACTTAAGTGAAAATGTCTAGTAAAAATTAAGTAATAGTAAAAGTGCTATTATTTGTATTAATTGATAGACCTTTATTTGTTAACCTTTTTAGATTTTTTCTGTCAATTTAGTAAATTGAATAAGTTCACTCTTAGTATATTTTTTATACTATTATTAAAAAACACCCAAAAGGCATATCTAACATAGTAAACAGTACTCCCATAGTAAAATATGTTGCTGTACATAGTAACGTAGTAGAAGTTATCATTCATATTATCTAAATAAATATTTTGTAATAAATAATTTTAATAAGGGAATAAACTACTAACATTTATATATTCAAAAAATATTATGTATGGTGATCTTTTTCAAACACACACACACACGCACGCACACACACACACACACACACACACACACACACATATATATATATATATATATATATATATATATATATATATATATATATATAGACACACACACACACACACACACACACACACACACACACACACACATATATATATATATATATATATATATAAATGAGTAATGATCATCTCAGGTAGTTGTGACGTTAAACCCCGTTCGAACATTCCTATCACAGGTACTTCCCGGTGATATTTTTTAATGAAATATTGTGAGCATTCACCTCATCAAGTCTAGTCTATTACCACTAAATTTCAGCTCAAAATTCAATAAGGAAGGCAGTTGAATAAATTTTTAAAAACAACAGCTCCAGAATGTACACGAAAAACGCAGTCATTTTCCATAATTTATTTAACTGAATTCCTGATTTAATTTCAAGATGAAATTTTGTTGATATAATCTACACTTAATGTGGAAGGTTCTCATAAAATTTCATCATATTCTCAAGCCAAAATATAGTGAATCTTTGGTACAATATAACTTATTTAGATAGAAGAAAGTTTAATAGTTTATTTAAATGTTTAAAGGGTTTTTCTGAACGGTTATTATTACTATGCATGTTAGTTTAGACCAAAAAAGTTTTTCAATTTTTCAAAATGCAGGCACATTTTATTTCTCAAACATATAGGGTCGATCCTGTTGATCGTTGTCACCGCTCAAAATATTTGTAATAAATAAAATTTACATATTTATAAACGAAAATAAAAGATTAATAATGATTTATGTTGACCATGTGAATATGTTTTTACTTGGACTAAAAAATATCTGTTTTGATCAAATCCGATTTGATTTGATCTTTTTCAAAATCATTTGATTTGGTTTGATTTGTTATAGGACTGAAAACAATCCAAATAAAAAAGTGTGATGAATATTAAATAGAACTATCAAATTGTGACGGGAAGTAGTACATATTATTAGAATCTTTTCTCAACTACCGTACAAAGTACACAATTGATGGAATATACCATGTTTGAGTTCCTTGTCATATACTACTTATATTAGAAAAAAAAGATGACACCACATCTCTGAGGGCCCCCCCAACCTCGACCAGACGGTACGTTGGAAGGATAGTACGTATATTAGAGAAGCTTTATGGTTGCTGCCATCATTAGAAGTGTTTCGAAGTAGTAGAACATAAGAGTCTTTCAAATAGTGCATTCAAATGCTTCAAGAATTCTTCAAGACATACATATTACATACTATCGTATGATGTTCATATCATATTTTATAAAAAATTCAATATAAAAGAAACAAATGACTTGTATGATTTTTATAGTTACAAACTTACAATAATGTAATTCAATGACACAATAAACATCAAGTAACATAATGCATATAATAACTCTCAAGGTTTTAGCAGGTCATAATTGGTTTTAATTGGTTTATAAGGGTTCTGATATATCCATAGCAGGTCAAAAATAAAACAATTCAAACACTCATGTGATTTTAGATATTAATTAAAAAAGTAAACATGGATAAGTTATCCTGGATAACACTGTGCATTGGACGTACAAAAAAAGAGAAATGGAAAAAACTCCATAACGAAGTATTTATGAAATTTATACTGAAATGATAAATTGTCTTTCTTATTCAATCCAAAATAAAATTTAAATCATACAACATCATTATTCCCAAGTACCCAATTTTATCAAAGCAGAAAATAAATTAATGCACGTCGAGTCAAATCTCAATCTTAACCCCCTTGAACTTCTTGTTGGCTGAGCTTTGTTCCATTCCATCAGATTCATTTTCATCAGTAGCATGTCTCTTGGACAAAACCGACTCAGGAGTACGATGAGATTCAATTTCTTGTGAGCACGGCGTCTGAAAAATAAAACAACTGGATCAGTCCATTTTCATTAAATTCACATGTATAATATTCTATTTAAAATAACATTGTAAATATTTTACCATATTTGATTCGACATTTGTGTAATCATCACACATCAAATCAAGATCAGAATCTGAGTTATATACCTATTACAAATCAAAGATAATAACCAAGTGTTAGTGCTTGAGTGTTTTTATCACATAAATACCACATGTTTAAAAGCCAAATTCCTCTTTTTGTGTGAGGTTACTTTATTAGTTTAACAGTTAAGTACAAAAGTAGTATAACAACATCTTAACAAAGTATGTACACAAGTGTATGTTAATGTTCGAGTGTTCGCACATTTGTAGAAACTAATTTCAAGAGGTCTATTTTGAAATGTGGTTATTTAAAAGGTAAAAATTTACTGTGCCGGCAAAAATCATCTTTATTCTATTTTCATAATCTTTTAATTAATTTTATGAAGATAAATAATATTAATACCTCAACAACTTCTTCTTGAACAGCCTCCTTCAGCTCTTTAATTTTTTCTGTGTTTTCAGAAAACGCAGCTATTGTATACTCCTTATGATTTGTAAGGGTATTCACTTTGCGATTCCCAACCTTGAATATTAATTCCCGGCCAATTAAATCCAAGACATCATTATGAACATCACAAGGCGATAAAGTCTCCTGCGTAAAAGAAGAGAAGTGAATTTTATACTAAAATCACAATGCTAATTCCCAAATTGTTAATTTTAGATATAAAATACTACGTATAACATATAATATAAATTGAATACTTTACCAAGCTAAGGCTGTCACTGAGATCATTTGCTGGTTTGCCAATTAGCTTACTTGATACATCGTCCCACATAACTACCTCAACAAAATGCTTACCATGCTTCACCATTAATTTTAACATGTACCGCCAAATACCTGTCTGTTTGACATCTCGACAATTGTTGCAGTAAAGAGATGCTCCCTCATACTTAAGCTTTTTAAAGCATGTTTTATTACCACATCCCAAGTAAGCCCAATTCTTTAATGAAAGAATCGAGCAAATTTGAGCGTAGAACCAGCAACCCTTAACCTGTATACCAAAGCAATAGTTAACTACAATACTGATTATTATAATTTTATATTAGGAAGATCTATCTACATAGAATTGTTTTTTTAATCAAATTCATTCTCAAGTGCTCAGATTTTAATGCATTTTCAATGCTTATTTGTAAGAAACCAGAATAGCAAACTAATTGTTTAGAACTACATTTGTTACCACACATATAACATATAACAATCTGTAAACAATTGTTCACTTAAACAATAACAACATGTAACTTCTATTGGCATGCATATCAGAACAAAAGCATAGTTTTACGAATTCAGATAGCATCAACTTTGATTGTGAGTTCCTTGTTTCACTACTATAAATTTAGATAAGCATCAACTCGTTATTTAATTTTTCATCAAAACATAGAAACTTATTCACTAATGTTTTTATGATTTTATGTTATACAAAGAAATAGATTATGTACAGATTTCTCATGAGGAACAGATTCATTACTGATCATTACTGAGAAAACAGATTCGATTGTGAGTTGCATGTTTCACTACTGTAAATTTATTAACTAATGTTCCATTGCCATTTGACCGACTCCAAATACTCACCGTTTCTACATTATGCCGCAGAACAAATGTTACTTCCGAACCTCAATTCCAGGTTTAGAAAACTTGATCTTTTTAATCTGTCATATGAGTATTCTAATCCGTATATAAATTTGTTACTCTTCTTCAATATGATTTTTACCTTAGTTTACTCATTTTTGGACTATAAGTACCGGAGAATTCAGTTCTATAGTTTATATTGCTATTACCTCGTACTTCAAAGTTTATCCCTGTTTACATCTTTAATATCTAAAATCACATTAGTGGTTTTAAGTGTTCTATTTTTACTTCTTGGATATATGAGAACCTTTAAAAACCATTTATGACCTGCTAAAAGCTTGAGAGTTATTATATGCATTATGTTACTTGATGTTTATTGTGTCATTGAATTACATGGTAACTATACAAATCATATAAGTCATTTGTTTCTTTTATACTGAAATTTTAATAAATATGATATGAACATCAATACGTAATACATATGTCTTAGAAGAATTATTGAAGCATTTGAATGCACTATTTGAAAGACTCTTATGTTCTACTATTTCTAAACACTTCTAATGATGGCATCAACTATAAGGATGTTTTTACTTGGATTTTAATTTGTTGGTCTGGTCTGAACTGGTCTGGTTTCTTTGTATTTTTATAACTATCCAAGTTTGGTCTGGTCTGATCTGGTCTGGGAGGAATTACAGTCCAAGTCAAAACATCCTAAAACTCTTCTAATATATATGTGCAGGAAATATGTATGGCACGATGAGCAATACAGTTATAAATAAGCAGCAAACAGACGTATGATTGCCAATTGACCGACTCCAAATACTCACCATTTCTACAGTATGCCGCAGAACAAATATTACTTCCAAATCTCAATTTCAGGTTTAGAAAACTTAACCTTTTAAATCTGTCATATGAGTATTCTAATCCGTATATAAATTTCTTACTCTTCTTCAATATGATTTTTACCTTAGTTTACTCCGTACTTTGATTTTAATTCTCAAGTTTCTTTCAATGTCTTCATATATATCGATATGAATAATACTTTTAATGACCTAAACTTCTTAATTGATAATTACTGCATGTTCAGTTTTTCATTTGAATACTGATTAGCAAATTTAATATTTTAAATAGTCATCAATACTGGCACCCTTATATAAATCTTAAAAGCATTACTCTTTATACGGAGTATTACAAATGTGTTACTAAAAGCAATACTGGCACCATACATTGACTCCTCTTCTTTTACAACGAAAAGGTGGGATAGTAATTTAATGCCCAAGTTTTATACAAAGTATAATTAATACTTAGGTTTTATATATGTATTATTTGTATGATGTTATTTGGAAAAAGTGAAAAATAATACGGCTAACTATAATTGTTTCTCTTTGAATATTAAAAAATACAAATTATTGCTATATAGTAACAACTATCCGTCAATAAAAATCAATGATTTCATATAACATGCTATATAGAAGTATAGGTTTCACACTGATGAAAAACTATGTAAATTTTAATAACTCAGAATGCAAAATATTATGTTTTGGCGGCACTGAAAAGTTAATATCCATCTAGACAAATTCTACCCTTCATAAAATAAAAAAGTGGGGGTTTTGGCTTTCGATGTCTTCAAAATAAAACCTTCAATTTTTCCGGATAGTATATAAAGGAATTTATGAGCTCAAATCCAAAAAATAATCAGAATGTAAAAATATGGGACCTTAATTACTTATAAGTTATGATATATATATATATATATATATATATATATATATATGGTTAAAAATTGTGTCTTACGTGTAAATGCCAAATGAATTTCTAATATTTTTGTTAAAATAAAAAATAATAAAGTAAAGAATGATAACATATGTAAGAAAAAGCAAAACTGGCACTTTTATTTGGATTAGTTTAGGTCACACTCTTCAAAAGCTTGATTTTTTTTTAATGTTACGCGTTTGACAGGCAAACTTTGAGCAGTGATTTAAGTTATTCTATTTATGTATAATTTATAAATTTTATACTTTTATGAAAATATTTTCAATAAGGAATATATTGATATAATTTTCATATTCTAAAAAATTTCGTATTAAAAAATATCATTGGTCAAAGTTGATTGTCATTGACCAAAAAAATCAATTTGGCAATCCTTTTCAAGACGGAGGGAGTATTTTGATTTATATTTAGGAAATAATATAAAATCATACCTCTTTGGCTGTGTCTAAATAAAAAAGAGGCATGGTAAATCCAACATCAATGCTATCTTCTCTTAGAGTCACGCAAGATGATGTTGTTTGGCTTGCAATTGACTTCATTGTTTGCTTTGAATTCAAAAACCTAAATTTGTCCATAATATATATATAAATCATAATTTAAATTTGACAAATTTAGTTATGATGAAGAAGGAAAATGATCGTTACCGGCACCGAAAATCTTCTATGTCAGGAATATGTTCATTCAAAATTAACTTGGTAGCATCCCAGGAAGAAGCCACTCCAATCTTTTCACCTATAGGTGAAAAACGTATAACTTAACGAACAAAAAAACACTATTACATTTTTTATAGTTGAAAAGGTAATGGTCAGACATATTTACCATATCTTTTATTTGTGCGGCATGCTTGGATAATGAATATAACTGGACCACTAAAAGAAGTAGCCAAAAACCTCTCGACTTCAAGCACTAGGTCTCCATACAAAGTACATAAGATAGTTTGGCCCCTTCATAATAGTATTACAGTGTAAGTGTAACAAAATTGTAAAACATTATGATAAATTATTCATGCATTACAGATAAAATAGAGTTTTGAAAGGAACTCAACTCCAAGTTTTCCAAATGAAAGTCACTATACCAAGCATCCCTTTGTGTCTTTTTCTTTTTGAACTCTTGTCCAACATCATACGCGCCAATAACATCTGTGTTCATTTGATTTAACATTATCATCAATAAGTGGAGTAGAACTAATTTCAGGCATACAAACTTCTAAAGAATACGATAAAAACTACATTTTTAGTATATAACTGTCATATAGAAATTAAAAATATAAGACAAAAACATACCTATCAAAAAAGGAGATTCACAATTGTGCATCTTCTTAATATCCTCAAAGCTTGCAAATTTAAATCTAGTTACAAAGCTAGGACAACTTTTTTGCTCTCGATGTTGCATTTTAGTGAACATCGTCAACTCAAAACGGTATGGATGGGCAGTAATCCTATACTTTTTATCATTCTCTTTGACTTCTAGGTGATTGACCGCATAAATCAATCCTTCCTCAATAGTGTTGAATTGATGACTTAGTCGAATGGGAATAGTTGCTTGAATTGTCGTACCCTTTTAAAAGCATCAACAAACCAAAGTAATCAGAATCTTTTCATTCGTTAATTATGTTTATTTCATTATTTGTTCTATTTTTTTTACATTTGATTAAGATTTGAACATCACTGCTAGGGCATTTTTATTAAACTTAGAAAGGTACATGAGTTAAATTGAATAGTTGAAACTGGAACGATATTTTGTATCAACTTAGGGCTTACTTTTTAAAATTTCATAAAATAGATATTATCAAATACAAAAAAAAAGTTTTCATAAAATGACTTTCAAGCTTGAAAGAGAAGATGACACGCACATATTTGAAAAAAGATGGATTTTAAAAAATCTACCGTCCAAGTTTAAATGAGAAGATAATTGTTAACGGTATACATTTCAAGTCCACTGTCAGAACACGAAAATGAGTATGCTAAACTATAGAACATGTTCACTGGACACCACTGTATTTAAAAATAATGATTTGAACCATGTCATTGTGAATTTAAAAAATTATGCTATATTACCTATATCAACAACACTAATGTATATGATATGGTGTATCCTTGATAGTAAAAAATTATATTGAAAATTAAATATTAATATTAGAACCAAATAATGCTCAATTCATTTAAAGTTTAAACCTAGATAAAATATTGGTTTAAACCATTTTACTCTTTTTTGGTTTAGTACATCTCTTAATGTCTAATATATGTTGTATCATTAATATGAAAGTATGGAGTAGGAAAAAATGTGTAACCTTTTCATCCATGAAAATCATTTCAATGGATTTGATGGCTCGACTTTTCTCTCCAATAAGGGCATCCCATTTCCGAGTGACTCTCACCAGGAAAGCAGAATTGCTTGGTAAGTTCTTCGCAACGTCCCCCAGATACACCTTTTTAGGTGGCATTGTTCTTGTAAATGAAGTACATGAGTAAGATTTATAAAAAATGAGAATTCATGAAGTGGCTGAGAATTGAGAAAGTTAAAAAACATGAATACATTAACAAAATATAAAAAGTAATATATAAAGTCACAATAAAGAGTAATTAATATAACAACCATAAACTTCAAAGATAAAAGAAAATCATAGAATAATCTGCTAGTGCTACTAATGATAAATATCATAATTTAATAATTTTACTCTTACTCAATGAAGAACAGTTAGTGTATTTGCAATAAGATTTTTACAATGAAAACCAAGATTTATATTACTTTGAAGAGAGGGAAGAGTTATAATAATTGTATAATGTAAGGTGGCAGAAGTAGAGCCTTTTCCACAGAAAGGTTAAAGGTGAAAAGCAAAAACAATTAAATTGCAAACTCAGCGAGCTAAAATTTGGACAGTTTGCACTGCATTCCTTAAGCAAGAAGTAGTAATATGATTTAAAAAAATTTGTGTATGGTACGCATACAAACTAATAGACAGAATTGTATATCAACCAATTGAAAAAGTGTGATGGTGTATTATTAACGTGTGTGAAACAGTCATGGCGTGTAGGATGGTCAAAGTCCTGTCATAATTATAAGCATGAAAGGATAGATTGATAATAAGCAATTAAACAGAAAAGGAAGTAATGCAAATATAGGGTCATGACACAATGTGCATGCTTAAAAGATACTATAAAAGATATTTTCTAAATGCAACATTTAGTTCAAACAGGATACTAATTTTTAGCAAATGACATTTGGCAAATCAGTGGGCAAATCAAAAGAAGCACAAAGGAAGAATTAGTTGATGGGGGTCTACAATTTTAGCAAATAAACTGTATGACTGTAATCTCAACTTACCCAACTACAATAGCTTGATACAGACTAAAACATCTTACTGGAAGAACAAAGATCAAGCCCCCGTTTATTAGAAAATCAATTGAAAAATGTAAAAGTCATACAATATCTTTGGAAGAAGATGATTGTGCTTTATATACTATATATATATAAAGCTTAGTCAAAAGCATTAAAAAGCAAGGGAAAACAAAGATATTAAAACTTGCTATATTTATTTTAGGTTATTAAAAAATAAACAGTGAACATTTATTAAAACTGGGTCACTTTGAATTAAAAACCACTTTTCAAAAGCTTATATGTCATTATAATCTGCAAAGTGAAACAGAGTCACTAACATGAAAAATAAGCAATTTGAAATCATTTACTTCGAAAATGATTTGAAAATAAAGTTGCAGATTTGTAGAAGGACATATGAAGTAACGGCCAACGGATTTACAAAGAGGACACGTCAAGGGAACTGAAAAGTAAGGTGACTGCATATAGAGTACCTTGCAATCTGCTACTTGGAATTGAGCCAATAGTATTCAGTCCATGCAAAGTAATAAAAGAGCACCTAGACAATAAAGCATTCAAATAAATAATTATCATTGATAAAGAGGAACCCTAGTTATAATGGTCAGTAAATCTTAATTTCTCTACTATTAGTAGTTATAATTATCATTGATAAAGAGGAACCCTAGTTATAATGGTCAGTAAATCTTAATTTCTCTACTGCGTGTAGGATGGTCAAAGTCCTATCATAATTATAAGCATGAAAGGATAGACTGATAATAAGCAATTAAACAGAAAAGGAAGTAATGCAAATATAGGGTCATGACACAATAAGATTTTTATAATAAATCTCGTATAGGGTCATGACACAATAAGATTTTTATAATAAAAGTCCATGTTGTTTATTTGCAATAAATTTTTTATAATAAATCTCGTATCAAAATCCAGTTGCTTTACCTAGATTAAGATAATAATTATCATTAATTAAATAATTTAGCCACACTTTATCATTATTCATTAAATAATTAATAAATACCTTCATATAAAATCTCAAAAAAGAGTAATTAGTATAAAAATCACAAACATAATATATAAGAGAGGGTGAAATAATAATCTGGTAAGCTTACTAATGCTAAATATCAGAATTTAAATGTGAAACAAAATAGAATAGTTGTTAGAAATATAAATCTAAAATTTAAAAAAAATAGAGGTAATTCGAAACAATGAAATTAATAGAACAAATTCTTACCTTGTAATTGTTAAAATATGAGCAAAATAAGAAGAGGAAAATATGAATAGCTGTGGCAGGACCGCAGGAGGATGGCGATGAGGAGTAGTATTAATAGATGGGTTTTATCGATAAGATGCCATGCAAATTGTGCAGTGGAATTAGGACTCTACAACTACAGCTCGTTTTTGTGATAGTTAGATGCGCCTATCTTATCTAAAAAATAGGATTACCGGCTATTATTAATAATGAATTAGGACTCTACTACTTAAGATTGTTTTTTAATAGATGCGGAAATCTTATCTAAAAAACAGGGTTACACGCCATTATTAATAATGAATCAAATGAGTCATTGAATAATTAATCTATATATAATATTTACAAAAAAACAATAATCAATATACACTGATTATTAAGGAGCAATCTTTGTGACTTTGGGTTACTATTTTTCATATTAATTATTAATATGATAATAGAAACCTAAATTATACTTATAAAAGAAATCTAAATTTTAATATTTTTAGTATTATTTATTAATAATTATATTAGTTCACCTACATTATAATAATCAGAAAACATCAAAATACACTACATTATAATTATAGAAATCATTGATTAATTAACTGCAACGCGACCATCATTTTTCATTCAGAAAACATTCTAAAACACATTAAAAGAACATTTCAATCACCCTATACATGAGCCACAATTGTTTCAATAGATCACCTGATAGAAATTAGCATATGTATGTGAGAATAGCAAGTGATGAAAAGGCAATTACTTAAATACTCTGTTTAGGACTATATGAGCCAATTACATGCAGTCCAAATCAGCTTAAATGAAAATCAGAAAATAAACATTGCCCGCAAATTTTTTTATTGATATAAAAAGATTGACTTGAAAATGAAGTACAAATTTAAGAAGCAAATGTAATTCAACTAACTACATATTTCAAACCACTTTTCATGCTAAACTGGAGTTGGAGTTTAATCCTATTAACTAACTTCATATTTCAAACCACTTTTCATGCTAAACTGGAGTTGGAGTTTAATCCTATTAAAGTCGATTAAAAGGCTTAGGTCTGTATTTGGCGTTTTTACCTGAACTCTCTTGGAATATAAACATGATTAGATTACTATGGGTACAATTATATGTTGAAGTTATATTGACGTCTAACAAAACACATTTTGATTAATCTATTTTAGGGCTTACATCGGTACCAGACTTGTGATTAAGGGACATGGCTTGGTTAATTTACAACATAAAAACCAAAGTTAATTGGATTCTAACCTAGAAGCAAACTTGAAATGAGAAAAACCGGTTTGTGAAGCAAAAAGCTCATGAAACATACTGAAGTGTGTGCTATGTCTGAAAACCACATGCAACTTTTCAAACAATGACTCAAAAGATAAAGGTCAAATAGTACAGTTATGACAAAATAATGCTAAAGTTACTAAAGTTTAACTTAGAAAAGTTATATCAAACTGGGATGGAAGGAGTAGTATATTTAATATAATTCCTAATACGGGGTATATTTTCCTATCATCCTATAATCATACCTGTAATTCTCTGCTGCAGATTTGTAGTTCTTCAGTTGCATGTGAGCCCATGCCAAGTTACCAAGCAACCTGCATTTTTTCAAGAAGTAGTTTCATATATTTGGTTGGTTGATTAATGCAGAAAAGTAGAAAAATGGAAATGTATTCATGCAGAAACATATAAATACCAATGAAGAAACATACGTAGTATAACATAATTACTAAAAGAATAATTTAACATACTGAGTACAGAGTAGTATAGATACAAATATAAAAATTCAAATGCAGATACATCATACATATTAATACAAATACCTAAAATACCAATGAAGAAACAAAAACAATCATTATAAAATGAATTTGATATAATATATACTACGTATACAAATACCTAGAGTACTTCTTGTCAAGGGTGAATAGGTGATACCCCACACTTAACAATTTTACCATCTCCTACATTTACCAAGAGCACAGAAGAGGACTATATGAGCCAATTACATGCAGTCCAAATCAGCTTAAATGAAAATCAGAAAATAAACATTGCCCGCAAAATTTTTTATTGATATAAAAAGATTGACTTGAAAATGAAGTACAATTTTAAGAAGCAAATGTAATTCAACTAACTCCATATTTCAAACCACTTTTCATGCTAAACTGGAGTTGGAGTTTAATCCTATTAACTAACTTCATATTTCAAACCACTTTTCATGCTAAACTGGAGTTGGAGTTTAATCCTATTAAAGTCGATTAAAAGGCTTAGGTCTGTATTTGGCGTTTTTACCTGAACTCTCTTGGAATATAAACATGATTAGATTACTATGGATACAATTATATGCTGAAGTTATATTGACGTCTAACAAAACACGTTTTGATTAATCTCTTTTAGGGCTTGCATCGGTACCAGACTTGTGATTAAGGGACATGGCTTGGTTAATTTACAACATAAAAACCAAAATTAATTGGATTCTAACCTAGAAGCAAACTTGAAATGAGAAAAACCAGTTTGTGAAGCAAAAAGCTCATGAAACAATCATTATAAAATGAATTTGATATAATATATAATACGTATACAAATACCTAGAGTACTCCTTGTCAAGGGTGAATAGGTGATACCCCACACTTAACAATTTTTCCATCTCCTACATTTACCAAGAGCACAGAAGAGGAAGTTCAAGAAAAGGGTGTTCTTGATCAGTCTTATCTTGTACAGTTCTACCAAGATGCATGTTGTCAATTGATTCTTGGGACTCTGGAGGGCTGAGATGGCGAAAAGACTTAATTGCTTCCATGCCAAGTTACCAAGCAACCTGCATTTTTTCAAGAAGCAGTTACATATATTTGGTTGGTTGATTAATGCAGAAAAGTAGAAAAATGGAAATGTACTCATGCAGAAACATATAAATACCAATGAAGAAACATACGTAGTATAACATAATTACTAAAAGAATAATTTAACATACTGAGTACAGAGTAGTATATATAAGAATATCAAAATTCAAATGCAGATACATATTAATACAAATACCTAAAATACCAATGAAGAAACAAAAACAATCATTATAAAATGAATTTAATTATAGAAATCATTGATTAATTAACTGCAGCTCGACCATCATTTTTCATTCAGAAAACATTCTAAAACACATTAAAAGAACATTTCAATCATCCTATACATGAGTCACAATTGTTTCAATAGATCACCTGATAGAAATTAGCATATGTATGTGAGAATAGCAAGTGATGAAAAGGCAATTACTTAAATACTCTGTTTAGGACTATATGAGCCAATTACATGCAGTCCAAACCAGCTTAAATGAAAATCAGAAAATAAACATTGCCCGCTAAAATTTTTATTGATATAAAAAGATTGACTTGAAAATGAAGTCTAAATTTAAGAAGCAAATGTAATTCAACTAACTCCATATTTCAAACCACTTTTCATGCTAAACTGGAGTTGGAGTTTAATCCTATTAAAGTCGATTAAAAGGCTTAGGTCTGTATTTGGCGTTTTTACCTGAACTCTCTTGGAATATAAACATGATTAGATTACTATGGGTACAATTATATGTTGAAGTTATATTGACGTCTAACAAAACACGTTTTGATTAATCTATTTTAGGGCTTACATCGGTACCAGACTTGTGATTAAGGGACATGGCTTGGTTAATTTACAACATAAAAACCAAAGTTAATTGGATTCTAACCTAGAAGCAAACTTGAAATGAGAAAAACCAGTTTGTGAAGCAAAAAGCTCATGAAACATACTGAAGTGTGTGCTATGTCTGAAAACCACATGCAACTTTTCAAACAATGACTCAAAAGATAAAGGTCAAATAGTACAGTTATGACAAAATAATGCTAAAGTCACTAAAGTTTAACTTAGAAAAGTTATATCAAACTGGGATGGAAGGAGTAGTATATTTAATATAATTCCTAATACGGGGTATATTTTCCTATCATCCTATAATCATACCTGTAATTCTCTGCTGCAGATTTGTAGTTCTTCAGTTGCATGTGAGCCCATGCCAAGTTACCAAGCAACCTGCATTTTTTCAAGAAGCAGTTTCATATATTTGGTTGGTTGATTAATGCAGAAAAGTAGAAAAATGGAAATGTATTCATGCAGAAACATATAAATACCAATGAAGAAACATACGTAGTATAACATAATTACTAAAAGAATAATTTAACATACTGAGTATAGAGTAGTATAGATACAAATATCAAAATTCAAATGCAGATACATATTAATACAAATACCTAAAATACCAATGAAGAAACAAAAACAATCATTATAAAATGAATTTGATATAATATATACTACGTATACAAATACCTAGAGTACTCCTTGTCAAGGGTGAATAGGTTATACCCCACACTTAACAATTTTACCATCTCCTACATTTACCAAGAGCACAGAAGAGGAATTTCAAGAAAAGGGTGTTCTTGATCAGTCTTACCTTGTACAGTTCTACCAAGATGTTGTCAATCGATTCTTGGGACACTGGAGGGCTGAGATGGCGAAAAGACTTAATTGCTTCAATGGCCTCATCTGACCGGTTCAACTGCTTCATCACAACTGCCATGAAGAAGAAAACAAAAAAAGAAACGGATGGAAGATGTGGGATATTTTATGAGCATTTTCCGGGGATTAATCTCTTTTAGGGCTTACATCGGTACCAGACTTGTGATTAAGGGACATGGCTTGGCTAATCCTATACATAAAAACCAAAATTAATTGAATTCTAATCTAGAAGCAAACTTCAAATGTTAATTGAATTCTAACCTAGAAGCAAACTTGGAATAAGAAAAACTGGATTGGGAAGCAAAGAGGATGTAAAACACTAAAAGTGGGAACAAATACCTGGTGTCGGCGCTCATTTACAGAAGAACAAAAATGGAGGAGGTAATCGGTTATAGCTGTGCTGGTCTACTCTGTTAATGGAGTGCTCGAACACCTCGACCAGCGCGAGGTCAACGCAGGCAGGCGAGAGTGATTTCAGTGCGACTGAGAAAGGCAGAAATACTCCTTGAGTTGTTGAGAGAACTGTGATTCTGGTAAAGAAGGAGAAGGATTTTCTGGTGCGATTGGCGAGAAATGGGCATACGGGGAAGATGATGGGATGGGAAAGAATCGATAAGGTGCGAATTTACATTTTTAGGCCACACGCACAGGCGGGAGAATTTTCTCTCTCCGGTGTAGTGCTTTTAGGTATAAGATTGGAGAGGTGTTAAGCTGGTTGCAAGACTATGAGTGGACAGAAACCGATGTGGAATCGGATTCATCCTGTGCTATTTATGAAATTCTCAAAGGAACTAGCGATTTTTCTATTGAGGTGATAGCTGATGACATAAGAAATTTATCAAAACATTTTTATAGTATTTCTTTTAGTCATATGAAAGGTTCAGCGAACAAGTCTGTCAATGTTTTTTATCCTCCTTGTTTTGGACTATGATTCGATTAATACGGACTTAAGGAGTAGTAATTAAGCTTTTCTCTTGCAAAAAAATGAAACTGATAAAATAGAACCTGTCAAAGCCTCAAACTAGTCCGTAACCTATACACTTCGCTCTCCCACCGAAAGGCAAAAGCAGACAGAAGAAGCATCAAAGTCCTAATCGGACTCCTCCCCGCACCTCTGGATACATTTAGGCGAAACACATATAAAGGAGATGACGGGAGAGAGTGGGGCGGCAAGCGGAAGTGAGTTTCCTCCGACTCAGTTTCCGGTGAAGAGGCTGAGAGAGGACAAACAGAACGGTGTCTCCGTCCGTATTCAAATGGAAGCTTCCAACAACGCAACCAACGGCGGGGGCAGTGAGGAGCAGTGTTTCTCCTCCATCATCCCCGGCTGGTTCTCTGAGATTAGCCCAATGTGGCCTGGTCAGTTCTCAAAAGAATATACGCGCATTCATGAAATCTCATCAGTAGTGAAACCATATATGCATTGATTTGTTTCTGTTTTATTTAATTTGTAAAGCGTATGCATTATGAAAAATTTACTAAGGTACTATAAGGGGTCTTATTAGATCCTATTTGATGAATGAGCTTTTTTAAAGTATAATGAATGGCTCTTTTTCCAACCCTTACTTGATGTTTCTGATTTGTAGAAAAGATTATATTTAGTATGCCCTGGAAGTTTGCTCCCATGTGACTTCTCTGTTTTTATGGGGTCCATGTGACCATGTCATGTATCACAATTGAGACTCTAGAGATCGTAGATGTATAATTTTGATATACTCTTGTACAGCATTTTCACCCTGTGAGTTACAGGCAGCTACTTGTCACTCCGAAGCCATCTGATCTTAGATCAAACAACTCAGATATCCTATACATTCACGACATGCTAGCCTGTTTACTTCGAAGATTGAACAACTCGCAAGATACAACCGCCATGCTACATTTAGCTAATCAGCACCTATGCTGCTAAAAAGTTTTACTTTTTAGTAAATTTTTGTAATTCCTTTTCCAATGTACTGCAAACAAATCTTTGTGGAAGTATCATCACGGGTCTCACTGTAGACCCTCTCTTTGTTTGAATTAATTGGGTAAAAGATTTAATTTATTATCTTTCACTTGCTATTGTTGAGTAGGAGAGGCACACTCATTAAAGGTAGAAAGTGTATTGTTCAAGGGGAAGTCAGATTACCAGGATGTCTTGGTGTTTCAGGTTTCATATTTCCAAACCTGTATATGTGTTTGTATTATACGTAGTATCTCTTTACGCTGGAACTTCTTCACTACTTCATTGGTTCTTTTGCAGTCTTCAACATACGGTAAAGTGCTTGTTTTGGATGGTGTGATACAACTAACAGAAAGAGATGAATGTGCATATCAAGAAATGATTGCTCATCTCCCGCTTTGTTCAATCCAGAACCCCAAGAAGGCCTGTACACTATCTTGTTTAGTGAATATCTGTAGGGAGTATTAATCAAGGGATTTTATTTGTTTATTATCTACTCTTTTGTGTATATCTATCTTTTCCGTTCAAATGAATTTACATTATAGAGTGTGTAATTGTGTATCTTTGCGTAGTGTTCATCAACAAGAATAAGCATTTTTGAATTCTTCGTATACTGTTGTTTTTTAAGGATGATATAGTTCATGAGAGAAGTTGTTGCAAGTTATAGTTTTGCAATCACGAATTAATTTTCTACTCCCCCTATTTTGTCACGTAATATAGGGTTTATTTGCAATTTTTTCAGGTATTGGTCATTGGAGGAGGAGACGGTGGTGTCTTGCGCGAAGTGTCTCGCCATTCTTCAGTTGTGCAGATAGACATATGTGAGATTGATAAGATGGTAGTCGATGTAAGTGAGCTAAAAAATTAGTTTTATCAAATTGAAAATTATTAAATTGGACAGTTTGGACCTAACTAACCCATAGGATATCTCTAGAGACGATGTTCTCACACTTGTATATTAGCCTCAGCTCAGATAAACATCCGATGTGGGGCACTTAACACCCTCTCCTAATCCAAAATGGGTTGCACAATTGAACAGGTAGTCAATTAGACCAATCCGATCCTAACAGGCTACCTGAACCATGAGGTGGCAAACAAATAAAATAAACATTATGGGAAATTGGGATCTACTTCTGAAACCATTTTCAATTGGGTCTAAGTGTCTAACTCACTTAAATAGGATCCTCAAGAGATGAGATTTAACACACACTTATATATTATGACTCAAACCTAGTGAACATCAGAACATCCAATGTGGGACACTTAACAGATTTCTGTTTACTCTCTCTATAAAGGGAAAAGATGCGGTGACTAAATTTATATTATGCATGGTGCATTGCTCAATACTCATCTAATTTTACTTCGTAAATTGCAAGCTCACGGAATATTAATACTTCTGTTGTTCTACAGGTTTCAAAACAATTTTTCCCTGTTGTGGCTGTTGGATATGAGGATTCCCGTGTAAATCTCCACATTGGCGATGGTACTGTAAAAAGTTTGCTTTTGTTTTTCACTGTTTCATCTTATGAATGTTGATGAGTTGCTTATAGTCATACACTCATACTCATTCAGAATGGAAGTTGAACCTTTTGATGGTCTGTAGGAGTTCAATTCTTGAAAAATGTGACTGAAGGAACCTATGATGCTATTATAGTGGATTCTTCTGATCCCATAGGTAAATACATTTTTTTCGCTAGAAAATCAGTCTTTGCATCCCATGTTGTACCCCAATTATTTACTTTGCACCTCATGTTTTATTTTCATTGTTCCACCCCAATGCATGTCATTTGCATTAGATTTTGCACCCAATTCATTAGACTTTTCACCCAACCATTAACTTACAAACTTTTACTTTTGGCTTCACTTTGAGGCTGCTTTGGGGTGCATTGTTCAAAGAAAATAAAACATGGGATGCAAATAGTCAAATGCTAATTTTCCTATTTTTGCCCTCAAATCACATGGTTCATGATTTTTATGTATTTGAAATAATGAACCTTGTCTACTCTTTAAATCAGGTCCTGCAAAAGAGCTGTTTGAAAAGCCTTTCTTTCAATTGGTGGCAAGGGCTCTTCGTCCGGGAGGGGTTGTATGTACACAGGCTGAGAGTATATGGCTTCATATGCACATAATTGAAGATATTGTGACAAACTGCCGCCAAATTTTCAAAGGCTCTGTCAACTATGCATGGACTACCGTTCCTACGTATCCTAGGTAATCATTTTGCACCATTATTATGTAAGATGGATATGGTACCTTCATGTAGGCTGGAACTCATTTTCATACTCGTTTCATTTGATTCCTGTTCTCAAAGTTGTCCCATGTCTTTTTGTTTTTCTTTTCCTCCATGAGAAAAGGACATGGTAGCAGTTTAGTCATGCTCTCCCTTTAGCTATGCTTTAATTGGTTAGTCCTGCACTATATTTTCTATGAAACTCAATGTCTTGAGGAGCGGATATGCCTCCCTTTTGGCTTTGTTGTATAGATCCCACTTTCTATGTTAATTTTCTCTTGGCCCCTCCTAATTTCACCATATGTATACATCAATTTGAATTATATTTGAAACTTTCAGCTTCTAGGCCAGTGTTTTATCTTGGATGTTCGCCGATCTGTTCACTAGCTCTAGACCCCCCTTAAATTTATAACTTTCTGACTTGTATTGTAAACTTCAGGCTATTTTTCAGATATGTTGTCTGTAACGACCCCACACACAATTCATGTCTAGGAATTAGGTGCTTTTGTGACATGCTACATGCTAGAGTAATCACTACTAACGGCATCATTATTTATCCTAAACTTGGTCTGTTTTTATCAGTGGAGTTATGGGTTTCATGCTTTGCTCTACCGATGGTCCAGCGGTTGATTTCAAGCATCCAGTCAACCCAATAGACAATCTCAGTGATGCCGGTGCAAAAGTGCCCCTCAAGTTCTACAATTCTGAGGTATCATTCAAATCATTCAGTTCATTATTCTTTGGCTTCCCCTCTCTAATCACAGTAGAGAAAGTTGGTGTTTAGATTTTATCTACTAGTTATCCACTTGCACCGACAGTCACCTTTTTTTCAGATTCATTCTGCAGCGTTCTGTTTGCCATCATTTGCCAAGAAGGTGATTGAATCCAAGGAGAAATGAAAATGATGATGGGTATTGTTAGTATAAAGCAGACTTAGGAAGAGTTTGCATCCTTATTTTGTGGGAGGGGGGCGGGCGGGAGATTTGTGGTGGTTGTTATTTGTGGTGGCTCGCATCCTACGAGATCTGTGTCAGTCTGACAGGTCCGGTTATCTCACAAATAGCTGTATTATTACTCCCTTCATTTTGATGTTTTTTTAGGATCATGGGCACATTCTTGATTAGGTGGACAACAAGATGTGCCAAGAATAAAAGCGCTTTCTAATATATGGTTTCAGAAATGGTTAAATTGATCATTGTAGAATTTCTAGCTGCGCGTTCCCACAAAATGTGATCAGGAGTCGAGGAGGTCAATCATAAATTGACAAGACTATTTTTTGTTTTGTTTTGAGATGAAAACATTTAACTATCATTAGCGCACCATCATGAACCAAAAGATCCCAAACATTAGAGGGTTCAAAACCCATATGATTAAATGAAACTCTAGAAAGACTAACAACCCTATCATACAGTTTTATCAGCTAACAAAAATAGTCATTAGTTAGATGACCTGGCATCTCATTTGTTGGGATTCGCTAGGTTAGCTGAGTATTACCTGTTTAAATAAGGCTTTGTACCTTCCGACTGAATAAGCAATGATCACAAATATTCTTGTCCGGGACAGAGTGCTGTCCGGCCACCGGTTATATTTTTTGTTGAAATTATGTGAGCTCCATGAAGTGTAGATTATGTCCACCAAATTTAAGCTAAAATTCATTCGGGAAAGCAGTCAAATAAAATTTTGAAAGTAATTGCATTTTATATGCATGTTTTGGCGCAGATATCTTCAAAAAAAATTGATTGCTTTTCCAATTGAATTTTAAATTGAAATTTGGTGGACATAATGTACACTTAATGGAGAACATGCTCACAAAATTATAGAAAAAAATACCGACGGGAACCACCTCAAAACGAGGTGACTGGATGGCACTCGTGGCCGATCAGGAAGATTACTCAAGCAATGATAACCTCAACTTTCGTCATCTATTATTCTCTTTTCTGCAATCTTAGTTATGAAATTCTCGATTTACTCTTCTTCTCCAAAGTGAATCTTGAATTGAGTAACATTGTTATTAGAAACGTCCATGGCCTGCGAATATCTTCCAATTGATCAATCAAGAAACCAGGATAAAGCTAGCACCAACAAAAAGGCAATTAACAGTGAAGCGGTTAAACACTATCATGAAAGATCGAGTGCCACTATTGGAGCAGAAATTTGAAGAGCAGTCTGCAGTGCTTGATGAAATCATGAGAATGCTGAAAGATAAAAAGAAAGTAGTAGTCAAACAGGATGAAGAAATGGGGAGTCATGATGTTTCTAATGATGAAAGATATGATATGAATAATATGGAAAATGTTAGCAAAATAGGTATATCTAACCGTAAGGGTTTCAATTCCCCCTCCCCAAATTATAATCTAACCGTAAGGTCTAGATTATAATCAAAGAAATGTCTGAAATATTTCACTCTGTAAAGAGGATTATTATAATCAAAGAGTTGATCTTGTCAGTATGTTTTTCCCGTAAAGCTGAGAATTGATTTAATAGTTATATGGTGATGAGAAATGATGTAGTTTGGGATGAATTCATCATTGACACACATGAGGCAGTTTGACATATCCACCGAAATGCTTGTCCTTTTGGGGATCGTAGTTCTTAAGCTCAATAATCTCCATGAATTTTCGGTTCTTCTCCTTAGCGTCACCCATTATCTGGGAGATTGCTTCTCTCATCCCATCTCTCTGCAACATACTCATGACTGAAGATTTTGTTTTCCCTGATAAAACACCTCAACTCCAAATCCTGTGTAAACGAAGCTCGGAAGTCTTTCATGTTCATGGAAAGAAAAATGTTAGAAGTACAAACACACTTACAAAAAAAACCTACAAACAAGTGATGTGGCTATTCTAATTACCATTGATGTAAAAGTGTTGTAAATGTGATGTGATGTGTTAAATAATGTGATGATGCCACATACCCCTTTTGTAAGATTTTTTGTAAAAGTTTTTGTACCTCTAAGGGACTCGTTTTCTTACATTCTATAGCCACATTCATATAAGATATTTAATGGTAAAATATTAAGAAAGTGAGATTAATTACTAACATCCAATAAAGTAGGAAATAATGGCACATTTATAACTAAAATAAAGATGGAAGATAAAAATGTGACATCTTTAGTGTAGTGACTATAGACAATAATAGTACTCTCACTGTCTTTCAAAACATTGCCAAATTAGACTGTCACATGAAATAATAAAGTATAAGTTGCGAGGTTTGAGATTTGAACGGAGGGAAATTAAACAATAGGAACTACACATTCTTTGATTAAAACGAAAAATGATAAAGTTTTTGAGACATAAAAAAAGGAAAAATGAGAAAGTTATAAGGGACGGAGCGATTAACTTTTCGTGACTATTTTTATATTTAATTTTACACTTAAATGACCATGATATTACATTCATCGTAACTTTAATAATATTTTATCAATAAGTTTTATTTCACTAATATTTTAGAGAAAACCTCGTAAAATAAATAAATTTCTTACCTCATATTTGTAAGGCTTAAATTAAATGTTTTTTAGTCTTTGCAAATATAGTGCATTTTATTTTACCTGTTTAATTTTTATTGTCTTACATCCCTAAAATTTATGTTAATTTGCTTTTTAGTCCCTCATAGATCATAACATCCTCCGTTTAACTATGAAATAATCATGACTAAAAGGTTTCCTTTAATTATTTGTTATGCCATTAAAAAACGTAATATTATTTTTGAGGAAATTGTTAAAACATATTTAAAAATGTGAATAATTAGTTATTCATTATTTAAAGTCTCATATTATTCTAAAAAAAGTTATACATAGATAAATTTAAATGTTCTAGTAGATTTATTCAACCAACAATAACTTTTTTCCTAAATGAGGTGGTCTCAGAATTATAGATGGACTAAAAGAAAATAGTGCATATCACAGGAATAAAAATAAATAAGTAATTGCAGAGATCTAAAACAAAACGTGTCTTATATGTAGGGAGTGAAAACATATCTAAGCCATTTTAGTACGGAGTAATATTTTAGAAAAAACCTCGTAAAATAAATAATATATTTACCTCATTTTTGTAAGGTTTAAATGTGTTTTAGTCCCTGTAAATATATTACATTTATTTACGTCCGTAACGAGTTTGTTTTTGCTTTTCATCCATGCAATTTATGTTGTTTTTGTTTTCAGTCTCTCACCGATCATAACAACCTCCGTTTAACAATAAAACAACCCCAACTAAAAAGTTTCTCCTCATTCTTTTTATTTTTAATTTTTTTGGCAAAGCTTCCCAATCTATTATAGTATCTATTATATGTTAAGACCAACATCCTTTGAACTGAAATGAATTCGAACTTGTGACCTCTTACTTGAGAGCGTCACAGTCATGCCATCAGATCACAAGGTACTTGGCGGTTTCCCCTCATTCTTTGTATGTCATTCAAAAAATACGTAATTTTATTTTTGAGAAGGTTGTTAAGTCTTACTCCAAAAATGTGAATAATTTGTTTTACATTATTTTAATTCTCATATTAGCCTAATTTTTTGGAAGGAAATTGTCTATATTAAATCTAAGAAACCAACGACATTACAAACTTTTCAATACTAACCAGTATCCTGCTACCAGATTCACCATAACCCGAAGGTCCCCTCACCCTCTGATTAGACATAGAAACGACCGCTCTAACTAGAGCAGATCAAGTCGCTAACATTGCGAGAGATCTGAAGATTAACTCGGCTTTTGAAGCTTTCTTACTTCTTAGCAAAAAAACCTACCCCTAAAGACACGTAACACACAAAAACCACAAAGAATCCAACAGATTAGACAAACTGAAAGACACATTTTTAAATGCAAACTATACTTGCCAAGCTCCTTTATTCTTGATTCCTTCTAATTGAGGCCTTGCACGAACAGCCAAAACTCCAATTTGTTCATTCCATGACGGTGGTTCAGGAGGAGGCCGAGCAATCAGAACCGTTGTGATTGATACTTCATCACCGGTCGAACTCCGCACCCGAGTTCATGGCTTCCACCATTATAGTCTCATCTTCTTCGTCCAACTGCTCCAAGTCATTATGTACTTGTTTCACATCTCCTTCCCGCCGATCTGCATCAGATAATCCAAATACCCTCAGCCGCACACAGAAAGGAAGTCCGGTTCCTTCGCTCAAAGCTCCACAACACATCCCTAGACGAAACTCCTTCTTCTTCGAATCAAACTGACATAGCACAACTCAATCGAAGCCTTGGCCGACCTCTCGAACCGAGATCATGAAGCGCCACCGCCCCCCTCCTCTTATGCGAAAAATGTTCAAAAGTTACGCCTAAACCCTAGGCTTCGTCTGCACATGTGCATGTGTGCGTTATCGTTTTGCTCAAATTAATTGAATCGGTCGACTTTGTCGAAATGTATGAATTCCTAACTGAATTCATATTAGCCTTAAATTTATAAAATCGTAATTCAAATGCTTCTAATATATTTATTCATCAACAATAACTTTTTTTTCTAAATGATGTGAACATAGAGTTATAAATACTCCGTAGATTAAAAAGAAATTAATGCATAATACAGGGATATAATACCAACAAAAGCAACATTTTTTTGAGATAAAAAACAAAAGCAACATGACTCGAAGAGAGTTTACCCATGAATTCATAAATACGCTTTGTTTTACGTGTCGACTTTTTTACCCGTACGGGTAGCTCAGTTGGTCGAGCGGTGGGAAAAATTGAACGTAGACCAAGGTTCGAATCCCGCAGCGGCCAAAAGGGGGTTTTCAGAACCTGAAATAAGGCTGGCCCTATGGTGCGCACGGGTAAAGGCCTACTACTGCTTTGTCGACTGAGTCACCGTGATTTACTCCTCCACCATCCTGTCGAGTCGGGGTGGGGGGCCCTTGGGGTTGGGGATTCAACCTTTTGGACGCATAAATACGCTTTGAAAGCTAAACGTGAAAGCATACCTATAGACTACACAAACGTATCTCACTAGTCTACATATCCGAAAAATCAAGAACAAAAAATTACTCCGAATTACTTATTTTTGTCTATGTTTAAAGAACCGGACCGGGAAGCGACCCGGAAAGATGACCGGGTCACGGGTTAACCCGGACCCGGAGGGTCAGCCCGGTCAATGACCCGGTACTCGGTCAACATCAATAATCACACACACACACACACACACACACATATATATTAAAGATCAAATGAGAACAAGGCATAACGTGAGAACGTGAGAACATCACATTTACCCCGATGTGATGCACAATGAGGAAGTGTGACTTTGTTTTTGAAACATCTCTAAAAGGAAAGTGTGAATTTCTTTTAGAAACGGAGGTATGATTGTTCTATAAATTAAGTAAAAAAAGTGCAGGTCTCAAAAGGTATAAAACCTACTACCTCCGTTCCCATTTTAACTTCCAAATGGGTTTGACACAAAGTTTAAGATATTGGATATTGTGTGGTGGAGAGTTGTGCAGAGGAGAGAGAAATGTGTAAAAAATGTTGTGAACCACAAATTCTTTACCAAAAAGGAAAGCGGAAGTTTTAATTGGAACGGACGAAAAAGGAAAGTTGGAAGTTTATTTAGGAACGGAGGGAGTACTAAGTAAAGCATGATAACAACAAATGAGAGTAGCCAAGGCGCGGAAGGGAAGACGATTTAGATGCTATAGGCACGAGTTCGATTCCTGCAGCCCACCTTTGCATCTGGTTTTTGGAGTTTCACCGGTCAGGATCGGGCCTATTTCGATCCGGGTCTATGCGGGTTGTCGATTATTTCTGGTTTTAGCTATATTACCGGTCTAGTGGTCAACCGGACCGGGTTATTGACCGGGTGACCGGGTTCTGGGTCAAACCGCCTGGTCTGGTGAGGTTCTTTAAACATAAGATTTTTGTTTCTAAGCGGTAAAGATTGTGAAGTCTATCTTTCACTGTCATAGAGAAAATGTTTTTTTTTAATCTTGGGCTCTAATTCTCCAACTAAACTACTACGTACTTCTCTTTCAGTTTTTTTAACAGCCAAAATCTGTTGCGTTTGGTGTTTGTTTTTCACCTTTTCCTGATAGGCGGTTGTTCAACTGCTGTTATTTTCTGAGTAGGACAATAATACTACGTATAAAATTTCTTTTCTGATTGGCGTTGCGTTTTGCGTCAGTCTACTCTGTTGGGAGTTCTTTACCGGGGAAGGCAGTGTCCAAAGCGTTGGTTAGCTTTGAAGTTGGTGAAAATTTTCCTCCTGGCAGAAATGGTTTTCTTGCAGTTTTGAGAAGATTTGATGGATCTGGAGACTGGGTTTCGCCAAAATCATTCCAAGGTTAGGCCCCTTTATTTGGTCAAGAATTAAAATTCGAGTCTACCCCTCCTCTTCTTGTTTGGAATATCTATTCATGCTGCGGTTTCGATTTTTTGGGGGTTTCAGAGTCAATCGTGGAGAACAATTTTAACATTGGCATATCAGAGTCTGGGTGTTGTGTATGGGGATTTAAGTACATCCCCATTGTATGTCTACAAGAGTACTTTCGCAGAGGATATTGAGCATTCAGAAACCAATGAAGAAATTTATGGGGTTCTGTCCTTTGTGTTCTGGACATTGACTTTGGTCCCTCTTCTGAAATATGTGTTCATAGTTCTTAATGCTGATGATAATGGGGAAGGGGGAACGTTTGCTTTGTATTCTCTCCTCTGTAGACATGCCAGGGTTAGCTCATTGCCAACTTGTCAGTTAGCAGATGAAGAACTATCGTTTTACAAGAATGATAGAACTGCTCCACCCCACACTACTGTTGGGAAAGGGCTAAAATCTTCTTTGGAGAGGCATAGGGTATTGCAGAGAGTTCTGCTTGTATTGGCTTTACTTGGAGCTTGTATGGTCATAGGTGATGGTATTCTTTCACCTGCCATATCTGGTATGAGCTCATTACTTGCAATTAAAAAAATTGACAATTTTTTATTATCATTTGTTAACCTATGCACCTTGTTCTTTTTTACAGTTTTTTCTGCAGTTTCAGGTCTGGAGCTTGCTATCTCTAAAGAGCATAACAAATGTAAATCCTACTCATGTTCTAGATAAAGCTAACCTTTGAAAATTGTTCATCGTTAGTGTGTTTTATTAGGTGTGGGCTACAAGTCAAGAATAGTTGTTCTCTGTTGAATTTAATTCCTTGAAATTGCCAAGTAGGTTCCCACTAGTTATCTAAGCGTTGACATATATTAGAGTTAGATTACAAGTCTCTATCTAACTTTTGGCAAAAAGTTGTCAAATTGTTTTATGGTATTTTTTACACTCAAGTGGAAAAAAACATAGCATGATGGGTGATTTTGAAATTTGATCTCATTATTCCTCCGTAAGAAAAAAGGCTTCTAGCAGAAGGCTGTCCAGCAGAAAACTTCTTCACTCAGTGTTTATTAATGTTAGAAAACTAATTGACACCATAAATATTATTAAGATGATAACGTTTTATTTCATATTTTGCAGATATAGGGGTTCCAGTTGCTTGTACCATTCTGATAGCCTTGTTTTCTCTTCAACACTATGGAACACACAGGGTTGGGTTTCTGTTTGCACCTGTGGTCATAACATGGCTTCTCTGTATAAGCTCAATTGGTCTATATAATATCATTCATTGGAACCCTCAAGTGTATCAAGCATTGTCTCCACATTATATGTACAAATTCCTGAAGAAAACTCAAAGGGGAGGCTGGATGTCCTTGGGTGGAATTCTCTTATGCATCACAGGCTAGTATAATTTATTCTCCACTTGATAACTTTATTTTTCTTACCAGAAAGAAGCCATATAATTTATTGAAGGCTATTCTCAAAACCATGTTATTAAAATATTGATGATTCACTCCATTCCCTTCAGGTTCAGAAGCCATGTTTGCTGATCTTGGGCACTTCTCCCAATTATCGATACAGGTATATATTTATGATATTGACTCAGATGGACTCCCTATATGGATCTTTTTTTGTATAAGTTTCTTCTACATAGTTTGTTTTACAGTTTTGGTAGCATATATGTGATATCTTTATTCATTGCTTCATTTTAACTTTGGTTGCTCTGAAATGTAACTCGGTGAAAGCTAGCAGGAGCTAATTATTTGTGAATAAATGAAGTTAATTTCTTTTAATCTGCCAAAAACATCTAAAGAGAGTCACATACAAGCTACATATCATAAATTCAGTTAAACCAACAAATAAATTTGAATTTTAAAAACAAAAGTATGATTCAAGATTTATTACAGTTGTTGCACCTTACCAAAATTTAAAAGTTGTGCACTTCTCAAGCAAGTTTATTTTATTTGGGATGGAGGTAGTATTAAAAAAGTAATGGTACATGAGATAATGATATTGATATTTGGTTCACTTAGCAGAACCATAGAGTTGGAGTTATTGCATCCAAAAAATAGAGTTTGAGTTATTATGCATAGCCAAAGGAGCATCAAGACCGACTGTTAAGGCTAAATATTTTTTCTTATCAAAATGGTAAACACATTTGAATTTTCTCTCTGCAACCTTCTTATTGACCCTTGCTTCTCTTTTATGATTCAATCTCTCTGTTGTAGTTTTTAATGAGAAGTACATGCATATTTTTTTGACAGTATTTCTGTTGATACAAAAATTACAGAATCATTTCATTACAGGTTCTCCACTGGGTTAAATTTGGCAAATTGGTTTACTATCTAGTTTTCACAGTGAAACCTCACCCTTTTCTGTCTATTTTTGCAGATTGCTTTCACATGCCTGGTTTACCCATCACTAATCCTTGCTTATATGGGGCAAGCTGCTTATATGTCACAACATCATGTTATTGATAGTAACTATCATATTGGATTTTACGTGTCGGTCCCCGGTATGTATTAATTGAATAGATAACTATTAATTTCGGAAGATACATGCTAAGACACGTTATGTAAAATTATTAATTAAATAAAACCCTTCTACCAGAGAAGCTTAGATGGCCGGTTCTGGTAATAGCTATACTGGCGGCTGTAGTGGGTAGCCAATCTATAATCACAGGAACGTTTTCAATCATCAAACAGTGCTCCTCTCTGGGATGCTTTCCAGGAGTCAAAATAGTACACACTTCATCGAAGATACATGGCCAGATTTACATTCCAGAGATCAATTGGACTTTACTGCTTTTATGTTTGGCTGTTACTCTTGGTTTCAGAGACACTAAGCGCCTAGGCAATGCATCGGGTACGCCGATTTATTTCTCCTTTTGTCCCATTCGGATTTTGCTCCTCTCCATTAACTAGAATGGTCCAGTAGGAGAGAGAGAGGTGGGGAAATGGTGGGGTAGGGAAAAAGAAAAGATTATGTTTAATTATTATTTTTAAGGAGATTTTCCATCATTTTCAATGGAGCCAAAGATTCATTATTTTTTGGCTTGAGATTATGATGGAATAAAGCAAAACGGCTCACTAAACTGTCTGCGCTTCTTTGTAATGAAGCAGCAGTCAGTCCATGCAATTTTTTGGATGGGATTTTCACTATGGGTCATCCGGAAACAGTCTCTCTGTGCTTTAGTACAGGGGTAAGACTGCGTACATCCGACCCCCCTTACCCCACCGTAGGTGGGAGCCTTTGCGGCACTGGGGTAAATGAAAATGAAATGAAATGAAATGATTATTTTTAAGGAGAGAGATAGAGTGAAAAAGAAATGGAGAGAGTAAATGGAGAGAAGGAAATGGAGAGGAGTATGACCCGTCCCATTCTGTTGATCATGTTCACTAATCGTGTTGTCAAATGAACTTTCAATCTCTGTTTTTATATATCACATGTTTATCATATTTGAATTTGAATTTCGCGCTTCAACATTAGTTTAGTTTCTAAATATGTACTGTAAATTATAATTATTAGTACCAATTTATATATTAGCATGGAAGGTTTGACTTAAGCTCTTGTAGTCCGAAATAAGACACATAAATGAAGACCACTTGCAGTTCATGAACTATACAACAACAACATTACCCCAGTACCGCAAAGGCTCCCCACCTATCGTGGGGGTAGGGGGGTCAGATTTACGCAGTCTTACCCTTGCACCAAAGCATAGAGATGTTTCTGGGTCAGAAAATTGCATGGACTGATTGCTGCTTTATAACAAAGAAGTGCAGACAGTTTAGTGAGCCATCTTGCTTTATTCCATCATATTCCTTAGGAAAAAATAGTGAGTCTTTGGCTCAATTGGAAATGATGAAGGAGTTCATGAACTATATAAATGCAAATTGTACTCACTTTGTTAAGCAGTGAACCAAGTCATAAGTCATATATATCTGAGAAAGAATCACAACATAATCACTAAATATCAGTTTTATATTGATTTTAGTTCATTATTATAATTACTCAATCGTCATGAGTGTAACAGTTATAACAGTTATGATGCCCTTTTGTTTTGATGATCTCATCAGGTCTGGCAGTTATAACAGTTATGCTGGTCACAACTTGTTTGATGTCGCTGGTGATCGTTCTGTGTTGGCACAAGAGTTTCGTCCTAGCTATTGCCTTTGTACTCTTCTTTGGGAGCATCGAAGCCTTGTACTTCTCCGCTTCTCTTATCAAATTCTTGGAAGGAGCGTGGGTTCCCATTGCACTGGCTTTCATCTTCATGATGGTCATGTGTGCTTGGCACTATGGGTTGCTCAAGAAGTATGAGTTTGACCTTCAAAACAAGGTATCCGTTGATTGGCTACTCGGCCTAGGTCCCACCCTCGGGATAGTGCGTGTTAACGGCATCGGCCTAATCCACACCGACCTAGTTTCTGGAATCCCAGCAATATTCTCCCATTTTGTCACCAACCTCCCAGCATTTCACCAGGTCTTGGTTTTCCTTTGCGTAAAGTCTGTCCCGATTCCTCATGTCAAACACAAGGAGCGTTTCCTCGTTGGGCGCATCGGCCCGCGGGAATACCGAATATACCGATGCATTGTCCGGTATGGATACAGGGATGCACACAAGGACGATTCAGACTTCGAGAACGATCTTTTGTGCAGCATAGCAGAGTTCATTCGTGCTGGAGGAAATGGAGAAGTTGAAGATTCGATGAGAATGGCGGTCGTGGGGACCCCTTCAACTTACCTTGACGGGGGGATCCATGTGTGCGAAGAAGAGAGGGGTGAGGGCGGAAAGGGGGAGACATCAGAGATCAGAGAAGAAGCGATAAAGTCGCCCGTGATACTCAAAAGGAGAAAGAGGGTGCGGTTTGTTGTGCCAGAGTCTCCGAAGATCGACCAGGAGGCACGAGCAGAACTGCAGGAACTAATGGAAGCTAGGGAGGCTGGGATGGCGTACATTCTTGGACATTCTTATATGCAGGCAAAACGTGGATCGAGCTTTTTCAAAAAGATGGTTATAAATTTTGGTTATGAGTTCTTAAGAAGGAATAGTAGACCACCGGGTTATGTGCTGAGTGTACCTCATGCTTCCACTTTGGAGGTCGGAATGGTTTATAATGTCTGATAATTTTGGCTAGGCTATAAACACATACAGGAAAACACCATCTGTGAATGCAATCTTTGGATTCTTTACAGAATATATACATATAGAGGTGATAGACATATAGCAAGCCCCAAACCTTTGAATGGTCATCATTTCAATGGGCTTACGGCCCTACCTAGGTTGGTATGATGTTACTATTTACGCTGTGCTCGGTAGTTAGTACTGATGACTAGACGTGGTCAGGTTTCAGTCCTCAGACCGACTACCAAAACTGTATAGGTGCCCGGGATCGGGACTTATATAAACCGTTTCGCCCGATTTTAGTCAATTAGTCGGATCCGGTCCAGTCCCAATCTTTGAAGTATTTTTTTCCTCTTAAAATGTAGTGTCGGTGTGTGTAGGGGTAGGTTCTAATACATAGGAATCTTCACATGAAAAGTGAGAAGTGATTTAAGCACTAGATCACTCAAAAAATTGATGGAATAGATAAAAGTGCATATACAATATGTATAGAGATGTCAAAAAACCCGGCCCGCAATGACCCGCCCTAGCCCGAGACATTTGGGGCGGTCTCTGGCCCACCCCGTCTTGCAAATGGGGCGGGTCCGCCCTGCCCCGCCTATACAATGGGGCGGGTCCGGGTATTAGTATTGACCCGTGCCGTCCCGCCCCGCTCAATATATAAGTATATACATACTTTTTCTTAAATTATACTACAAATATACTTCAACATAGATATGCGTGTATACAATAAATCATAAATTCTTTGATCTCATAATATATCAATATATATATATATATATATATATATATATATATATATATATATATATATATATATATATATATATATATATATATATATATATATATTTGATTGAGATGAACGACGGATTATCAATGTCTTCTTTATATATAACATTTTAATACATATATTCAAGTATTAATATAATTAAATAGATTAACTATTCAAGTCTAAGTGATTTTTCCTTAACTTTTGAAATTTCTAGCGTATCGTGAATTTGATTTAATATATTAATTTTTAATAATTATTTAAAGATAAACTTTATGTAGATTCAATTGGTAAGAACGTCTCACAAATAAAAATACATACTAGGTAATTTGGTTACGACGGGGCGGGGCGACCCGCCCCGCATGGGGCTGGGTGAACCCACCCCGCATGGGGTTGGGCGGGTCATGGGTCAACAAGTTTGGACCCGTGTAGGTCACGGGGCGGGGTGGACCCGCATCGTCAAGTCACGGGGCGGGTCTAGGTTTTGCAGTACCCGCCCCGCCCCGACCCATTGCCATGCCTAGATATGTAAAGATGCACATTTACTCCTTTGAAAAAGTTAATAATCGATTTTATATTTTTTATTTTATTTCGAAGCATGATGCACTTTTGTGTTAGTTGAATGCACTTTTTCTTTATAGTCTTGCACTTTTGATGAACTTTTTTGGGAATGTTCCTTATGAAGTCTAATTTATCCACAAAACATTTCAACTAAAAATTCGTTCGGAAAGGCAGTCAAACAATTTTTTGAAGATAACTGCACCAAATTATAATTATAAAACGCAGTTATTTTCCATAAATTATTTGACTGTCTTCCCGATTGAATTTTTGGATGAACTTTTTTGTGTATAAACTAGATTTGATGAGAAACATGTTCAAAAAATTTGGCATATATATATACTCCATCCGTCCCATTTTGTAAGATACTTTACGATTTACGATGTTTGACCGACGATAAAGTAAATTGATCCCTGTAAACACTCAAATTAGTTTTAGAAAATAAAATTTACATATCCAGAAACTACATAAAAAGCGCTACAAAACCTTCAAAAAATAATTCAAATTTCATAAACTTTTGATATATAAAGTAAAAGATTAAGAGTGATTTATGTTGACCAAGTGAATAGTAAATGTATCTTACAATTTGTGACTGAGTAGTATAATTTATATATAATTTATATATATATATATATATATATATAAATTATATATATAAATTTTTTTGAGCACGTTCCTCATCAAGTCTAGTTTATTCATATCAAATTTCAGCTCAAAATTCGATCGTGAAGGCAGTCAAATAATTCGTTGAAGTTTATGTATAATTTGGTGCAATTATGGGGGTGTTTGGTTAGTAGCCTATCAGCCATTTTTTGGCTGATTTGACTACTATTTAGCTTTTTGACTGCATTAATTGCTTATGGGTATGTTTGGCAAATGGCTTATCAGCCAGCTTTTAGCTTGTTTGACCCATTTCAACTGTTTGATTAGTCAAAGAAGCTAATAATAATGTTTGGTAAATGGCTTTTAAAATTAGCTTGTTGAGTTTGAAAAGCTGAAAAAATGGATTGTGGAAGAAGCTAAGGGGAGCAGCTTCTTCATTTGGCTGGTTCAATTTACACTCTATCAGCCATTTCGAAAGAGCCAATTTTACCAAACAGTTATTTATAATCAGCCAACATAACCAGTCGGTCAAAACAACTAACACAACCAGCTGTTTCGCAACAGCTGACACAACCAGCTACCAGCAACGGCTAACAACCATTTACCAAACAAGGCCTATATATATATACACTTCTAATATGCAAACTATCCACATCACCCGTAGGTTTTTAAAATTTTGGATCAATGGCTTAGATTAAAACATTCCCGCCACCCACTTCTCTAGGCACGACTCTATCCTCTTTTCCTATCACTACGTTGATCAGTTCATGGTCAATATTATTGTTTATCATCTCCACACCAGCAAGTTGTGTCAGCCCAATTTTCGCTGAATTTGAACAATCAAGTTGTTATTTACGGCCAGAGGCGGCGGCGGGTATTTGATCGGAAGGCCTGCACGGCGGCTGCACCATCCCGCCTTCTTCTCCATAATCTGAGTTGTGAGCTTTGGGTGCGGCAACGTTGCAACAAGAAAAAGAAGGTGCTGGTAGTCCGCTGAGTATTGATGAACTTGAAATAGAAGCCATCTTTTCAGTTGAAATATCTTACTCACGCATCTAAAAATTGTAATCTAGGGTAAGCAACTTGGTGGGATTATTTCAAAATTTGATTTGCTATATTTTTTTACTTTTAATTTTGTAATATGTGTTGCCTGCTTTTGACAATTAAGTTAGTTTAATTTTGAAAACTAGTAGTAATCAAGACTGGGGATGTGCTTTAATTTTGAAAACTTAGGGTTATTTCAGGTTTATGCATTTCTATTAATAAAGTCTATACAATCTTTGATTCTACCCTGCTAGACAAATTGCATATCACATTCTTAAACCCATAAGTCTATAACATCTTTGGGGTCTTTAATTTTACAGAGTTCTACTATGTCATTTGTCCTTCATGAAGAATTCTGAAATTTATACTTTCCTTGATTTTTCTTTTCCATTCACTAGCTTAGTACCCGTGCGATGCACGAGAGTACCTATGCATGTCCTCATATTATATTTGATATAAATATGTGAAATTAGGTTAGGTATAAATTAATCAATAAACCAAAAGAGAAAATTGTAATACTCCCTTCGTTCTTTATTAACTGTCTCGTATTCCTTTTTGAGATGTTTTTAATTATTTGTCTCTCTTTCCTTTTTTGTTAAGTTTTTTCAATCAAAATACTTTTATACCCCCATTTTTATTACCATTACCCATTTCTCTTTCCTACTTTTTCATTTACCCACAACCCATCCAATCCACTACACCTTTTACACTACGTCACTACCCCTATTATTTTCCCCTTAAAACCTGTGCCAAAGCCTAAGAGGACAGATAATAAAGAACGGAGGGAGTATTATGTATCCATTGCAATACCATTGAATAGTTTATCTAAATTTGTAATTGATTATATTGATTTAAAATAATGTGTTAATGTTTAAAATTTAAATGTGCAGTGGGCTGGGCCTAAGGTTGCCCCTAACTATGCGCTACTTTAATGGGACATTCAACATATTTACATATGTATGATAATTAGAAGATACTCCGTAAATTTAATGAAATGATTTAAAATTAAAAGGTGTAAATACTTTACACTATTCTTCGACATTTTTTATTTTCATTTCTAATATTATTAGTATGAACAAAAAAATACAATAAATAAGACCTTAGTTCCATCATACATGCTAAAATCCATAATATTTGTAGTTTTAAAAATATAAAAATAAAAATTTTCAAAACAGCCTCATAAATATAAACTTAATCACTAATTTCAAGTCAAACTTCATTAAATTAAATCAACTAATTGTGGTTCTGAATATTTCTCTCCCCTCTACACAAATCTCAACCACGCAATTTTTACTATTATTATTTCTCACCTACTTTGCACTTGGTAAAGTCCACAGGACGGAGGTAGTACAGTATATTGACTGCAGAGTATAATATACGGAGTAGAAAATTGTTAACCATTTTGTTTGTTTGTTATGACAATTTTTAGGAGCTTTTCAAAAAATAAAAGATCTTTTTTGAGATACTACAGAGAGTAGCATCTGAGAAAAGTTTGTGACTTTTAGCATTAGTGAGTCCTAACAGCTTGTATATCAAACAGAACTAAATCAAACAGTCAGCTTTTTACCAAACAGCTATCACCTTTTACTTTTAAGATCTTTTCAGTCACTAAAAGCTACTCCGTAACAGTTACTAAAAAGTCTATAAAAGTATCTTTTTAGCTAGTTGTGCCAAACATACCCATAATCTCAACAGGCATACCATAAACACATGTTTCTCATGAAACTTTACTTTTAGCTAAACCCATTTATTTATAGAACCCGTTTGATGATAGACAAATTGATTGTATCGGCTGATTCTGCTGATTTGTGAAAAATAATAATTTAAAATACATTTTATTAATAAAATAAAGAAAAAATTATATGAAAAATAGCTAAAATGACTCTCTACAGTATCTTCAGCCAATACATCCAGAAAAGTAACTTCAACCTTACTTTTTCTTATTATTACATAATTCAGCTCGTAAAACAAAAATTTACGTGTTTGGTGAAAAAGTTGACTTATAAACCTGAAAAGCCAAAAATCATGGTTGCCACCAAACGGGCATCTAATAGCTTCTCAGACTTACATATCGAAGGATATAAAGTAAAATCATGACATTCTTCTTGTGAAAGAGGAAATAGCATGAATTATTAAAATTCTTTTTATATTTTACTATTTCGATTTTTCATCTATTCCACTTGATTAAAAAAAAATCTATTCCACAATTTATTTTCATATTATATAGTAGTCACTCTATTCCATTGGAATTTGTTAAATCTAGAATTTAGCTTGCGTTTCTAAATGTAAAAAAATGACAAACTTTTTCAACTAACAAAAAAATCTTGACAGTGTAGTTGAATAGAGATA